GGGGGGCCGCGCCGCGCTCTGATCCCCGCTATTTATAGCGCCCGGAGCTCGAAATAGCGCGGAGCCCAGCGGAGCCCAGCGGCCGGGATGACGCGGCGCCGCCAGGTGACTCACCCGGCCCGGCCCGGCCCGAGCTCCGGCCTCCGGATGGGGAGGGGACGGGGGGGGGACAGTGGAAGAGCCTGGACCCGAACCCGCGCCCTCCTGGGCGGCTGGCTCTGCGGCTGGGACGTCCCAAGACTGCGGATGCATGGGGTTGGGTCGGAGGTCGGACTTCTGCTGACAAAGTCACAGTGGAAGGGGTGGGGGGAAGAGGGGGGGAGGGAGAGGGAGAGAGAGAGAGACAGGGGAGGGGGGAAGAAGAGAGGGAGAGATTGGGGAGGGATTAAAAAGATGCTCAGCTGTGCGTGCACCTGCACGGAAAGGATGCTTTTGGAAGGACGGAGGGAGCAACCCGCGCCGGTGGCTCAGGCCTGTCATCCTAGCTACTCAGGAGGCTGAGATCTGAGGATCAGGGTTCAAAGCCAGCCCTGGCAAGGAAAGTCCCTGAGACGTTTATCTCCAATAATCCACCAGAAAACCATAAGTGGGGCTGTGGCTCAAGTGTTAGAGTGCTCACCTTGAGCTGAAGAGCTGAGGGACAGCGCCCAGGCCCAGAGTTCAGGCCCCACGACCAACAACAACAACAAAAAAGACACAAGGACACAATGAGCCCTTACAAGTCTCCTTTGTTTGTTTCTATTCCCATTCCTAACTTGCCTTTCCTGCCCTCCCAGCATGGGAACTCCTGCAGCCTAGGCACTTGAAGGTGGAGGCCAGAGACCAAACTCTGTGTCTTCCCCCAGTCCCCAGAAGAAGATAAAAGAAGAAAAAAAAAAAACAGCCTGCATGAATAAAAAGTGTTGGTGAAAAAATGAAATGGCACTTCCCGAATCACAGCAGCAGATGTGTTATTTTCTGCTTCTGTGCCAGGCACGACTGCTGAGCTGTCTCCTACTCCTACGAGCCCGCTACGGCCCCACGAGGGATGTACTCTGAATATATAAAAATAGCCTCACCGGGTTAGAAACAAGAAGGCAAAGGTCCCAGAGGCTATGAATGAGTTTCTCACACCCAGGTCACCTGGCCCCAAATGTATTTCATTCCTGAGTGGCAACTCTAAGCTTTACAGAAAGCTTAGAGGAAGGGCCTGATTCTCAAAATGTGATCCTAGAGGAACCTGAGAGGGGATCCCCCCCATAAGGGACCTTTAAGGGACGACCACACTCCTATGCCGACACTTTCCTGAATTTCTTAAGGCTCCATGTCCAGAGTATCCCAAGCAGCCTATAGGGAATCCAGACAAGAAACAGAAACTCAGTTGAGCATCCAGCTGAGTGCTTATGGGCACAACATTAATGATCTATAAATTTTTCAAACAGCACCTTTTCCTTAGCTGCATGTCTCTGTCATCCTAGCTACTCAGGAGGCTCTGTGAGGATCATGGTCTGAAGCCAGTCTCCCAGACACAAAATTCTATGAGACTCTTATCTCCAATTAACTGCCAAAAGCTGGACACAGAGCTGTGGCTCAAGTGGTAGAGTGCCAGCCTTAAGCAAAGAAAGCTCAGGGACAGCATCCAGGACCTGAGTTCAAGCCCTAGTACTCTCACACAGAGACACAAGTGATAAACTGGTAAGAAGAAAGAAACCCAAAAAGAATGAAAAAGAGAAAGCAAAGGCCTGGGAGTGGGCTTCACGAGTGTAATGTTTGCACCAATCCTGGCAGACAAAATAATACACAAGTTTGAATCCCACAAACAGGGCATGAGGGGGACCAGAAGCTGCCAGATGGCCGCTGGCGGTCAAGTGTTGCTTCTACCGGCCTCAGTTTCCCCCGTGAGGGGGTGAGCGCCTGGATTCCACCTCCCGGGCGCCGCTCGCGCCTGCAGTTCCGCGCGCTGACCGCCGGGAGGCGCCCGGCCTCTGCGCCTGGCGCGGCGGCCGCGTCTGGGAAGCGCTGGAAGTTTCTGCGCGGAGTCGAGCTTGGTGACCAGACTCGGGCGCGTGCCCGCGGCCCCGGGACGGGGCGGGGGGGGGTGGGAGTGAGCAGGGAGCGCGCACGGCCTCGGGAACCCGCGCGGCGCCGCGTCCATTTTTACCCCGGCGTCGCTAAAAATAGTGGCGGCGGCGCTCAGCGCGCAGCCCGAAATAGCGGCCCCAGATAAGGCAGGACGACTCAGCGCTTCCGGGGAGCGGAAGGGGAGGCGGGAGGGAGGGGGGGGCCGCGGTCACCCCGACACCCGCTGCGACCTCGGACCCCGAGCCCCGCGATCGCCCGCGCCCCGCGATCAGCGCCTCCGGCCTCACCCCGGGCCTCCCGGCCCTCCCCCGACCCAGCCCCCCAACCCCGTGTCACCGATCTCCAGCACCGCGGGGTCCTGGGGTTACAGGAAATCAGAGCCCCCCGGGGCCTGGGGGCGGCGGGGGGGATGTCTGGCTTCCTGGC